CCCCCCCCCCGCATCTGATGGAGATGAAGCAAGCGGGAGGAGAAGGGCAGGATGGCACCGGGACTCCTTGCTGCAGGACGCCGTGGGGCACTAAATGGGTCAGATGGAGCCTTTTGCTGGCACAGGATGTCACCTACTTCCCCCCGCCCCAGCGATGCTGAGAACGGCTCACACTCAGGACATGGGCTCCCACGTGCTGGGCTGCTGGGGGGGCCGGGGGGAGGAGGACGGCTCGGCTATCCGCCGTGCCTTCCAGGCTGAACGCTGCCCCGAAAATTTCCGCTGGGGCCGTTTGGCTGTAGGGGCCCGGGGGGGGGGGGGGGGAGGGTGATAGCAGCTCCCCAAGGGATGGGCGACTGAGCTTGCCCCAAATTTGTCCTTCCCACACTTCAAATCCCCCCCACTGCCACCTCGAAGGGCCGCGCTGGGCGAGCGGGAAGCGTTGAGCGAAAGCTGCTCTCCGGGCAGGCCTCGAGCGTGGCGCGGGGGGGCTAAGGGCACATCGTCCCCCGGCTGTCACGGCCCCAGCGCTGTGTCCCACGGTTTCCTCTTCCCTAAGCTAAGGCCCCGCAGAGCAGGGCTGCTCCTGCCCAGCAGGTGCCGGAGTTGCCCGCTGCCAGTGCTGGGATGCAGGACGTGGGGACGCATCCTGCTTCCCCCAGCACCCATCTCAGCCCAGCGGCTCCTGCGGGACTCGGGAGCGGCGTGTGGTTGTTACGGGAACTGCCGAAAGTGGCGCCCGTCCCTCATAGAGGGAAAACAGGCAGTGCACGTGGAGGGAGGGTGAGAGCTGGGTGTTAATGGGCCTGAAACACAGCAGGGGCTTGCGCAGCTCACCCAGGGCACGTGCATCTCCCCCGGGGCACGTGCATGTTGTGCAGGGCAAGTGCATCTCGCCTAGGGCATGTGCAGGTCACCTGGGGCAAGTGCATCTCATCCAGGGCACGTGCATCACACCCGGGGCATGTGCATCTCACCTGGGGCACGTGTATCTCATCCAGGGCATGTGCATCTCATCCGGGGCACGTGCATCTCACCCAAGTATCCTGACGGGGTATTGGGCTGCAGCCGGCGCTAAGAGCAGGAGGGTACCCGACTTCCCATTGCCAACATCTTTTGCTGCCTCCTCCTGCGTACGCGGAGGGTCTGATCCCTGCTGCTCACCTGGATAAGCCCATCTTTGCTCACCACCTTGGGCTGAGACCCCCCCAGTGGCTGGGCAGGCTGAGTCCTGGGCCTGCACCACCTTCGCTTCACAGCACCCCCAGCCCTCCCCAGCCCGCAGGGCTGCAACGGGGCTCTGCCCAGCTCGTAGCAGCCCAGGGTGACCTTAAGCTAGGGAGAAGGAGCCAAGAAGAGAGGAAAGAGGAGGGGAGAGGCAGCCCTGACCCACGGGCAGACCAGGACCAGGAGGAGGTTGGGGTAGGAGACCCTCCAGGGATGGCGCTGGGGAAACTCAGAGAAGGGGACGGGTGTCTGCACGGTTTAGGAAGGGGGTGTCCCCCTGGCTGCGTCTCTAACGGGCAGCGATCCCACGTCCCCGTGCTGGAGAAGGTGCCGCGATCCCCCCAGCGCAGCCCGCGGGCAGAGAGTCACCTCCGCCGAGCCCCAAGATAGCTCGGCACGAGCAAGGCTGTAAGAGAGCACCGTTTCGGGATGCTCCCGTACCACGGCAGGGGGGATCCCAAAATACCTCCCCGGCCTCCAGGACGGCCTGAACGGGACCTGCCCTCCCTGATAAATCAGGGCTGTGCTCCGCGTAGGACTGCTCTCCCGGGATGAGCCGGCCTCCTCCAAGGATTAGGAGACGCTTGGGGACAAGCTGTCATGCTCCTCCGATGCACTGATTTATGTTCCTTCCCTGCTGATTATTTAGCCATCTCTTTCAAATACGCGGCAGCGAAAGGTCAAAAGCCCTACCGAAATACTACCGACGCCGACTGCCCTACGGTTTCGCAAGGCAAAGAGCGACCACAGCAGGCTTTAAGATTAGAACAAACCTTTAATTATAAAAATAGACACAAATTTGTAATATTCCTGATAGATTCTTTTTACAAACAGCAAAAAAAAAAAAAGAAGGAATGACATCACCTTTCCAAAGGGACCGTTACAGACAATTCTCCATAGCCAGAGCCTGTCGAACCAGAACGGCAGCAGCGCTCGGCTCTTAGCGTTTCAGTCCAGCGTGCTGATCGCATCTATTTCCTTCTGGAGGAACAGTCAGAATCAGCCAGTTTTGGTGCAGCTGCAGCCTGAGAACATACCATATGTTAAACCGGATCGGTCAGGAAGTCCATGTAAAGCGCTGGCAGGGTAAATCAGAGTCAGGTTAGTACAAACGCAGCCTTAGCGACTAAGCCTGCGGTTCTCGCTATAAAAGGTTGGCGGCGATTTCTTTCTGTACGTTTTTTTTCTTTTCTTCCTCCCAAACTGGAGCTATCGGAATGACTCAGTCCCTGCAGCGTGGAGATGCTCCGGGCGGCCGGGGCTGGCC